CAAAATTTAAATTCTAGTAGAAGGAAGCAGACAATACTTAATGGAAATAACATGTAAGTAGTTTGTATAGTATGTTAGAATTGGATACATGTTATGGAGAGGAAAAAAGTGAGGTGTGAAATACCATGGTAAGAGATTTGCAGTTTTAAAGATGGCCACATCTCTTAAATACTTTTATCTATCTTGATTTACGAAGAGTTTATTTACACCAACTATCTTCATTATGAAGTGTTTTTTCCTAAGAATTTAAAAACATAAAACCAGTGATGCACCAAGGTATTTAATGGAGGGGAAGAGTGGGCCCCAGAAGACCCCAGGGCGACATCCCTGGTCCTTAAAGGCTGCTGGGAGTCAAAGATTGCAGTTAATTCATGGGAAAGTATCAAAAGAATTTCTTTTTTTTTTTTTTTTTTTTTTTGAGACGGAGTTTCGCTCTTGTTACCCAGGCTGGAGTGCAATGGCGCGATCTCGGCTCACCGCAACTTCCGCCTCCTAGGTTCAGGCAATTCTCCTGCCTCAGCCTCCTGAGTAGCTGGGATTACAGGCACACGCCACCATGCCCAGCTGAATTTTTGTATTTTTAGTAGAGATGGGGTTTCACCATGTTGACCAGGATGGTCTCGATCTCTTGACCTCGTGATCCACCCGCCTCGGCCTCCCACAAAAGAATTTCTTATCCCAAATCAATAGTATGATCTACCCTCTTGCTTTGCATGAGTGGGAAGCAGGGGGAATTTGGAGAAGCTGTGAACAGGTCCTGAATAGCCAAGGGAGGGGCTTGCCTAACCCTAAAGGATTCTCAGTCTCCACGTCTACCTCCCACGGCAGGTGCAAATACTCACATTCATAGTGGGTTCCTCCCTCTCCCTTGGATGCCCAACACAGCAAGAGCTGATGTGGAGCACTCCCCAGGCTAGGGAGGATGCGGGGAGAAGCCATCCTCATAGCAAGCTCTTCCTGAGAGATGCTAAGGTGGTAGAGAGACTGCACAATGTGGCTTTCCAGGGGGTGTTTCTCTCTATTGATTACTTGAAATGATTACATTTTACTTTAATTGTACCATTGAAATCAGGTTCAGGTAAGATTTCAAACTTATTAAATAAATGGCCCACACGACATTTTAGGGGATATCTCAAAAAAGAAAATGTAAATAGAATCTACATATGAAAGAATGATCAATTTAACAAGCTTTAAGGGGAATGCAAACTAAAACAATGCAATATAATTTGCAGCCACCAGACTGGCAAAAATATTCAAATATTTATCATATCCAGTTTTAGCAAGAAAGAATGTGGGGGAAAATTAGCAATGAAATAGTTATGAAAGTGCTCTGGCAGTATTTAGCATATCTTCTGATCCCCCAATCCTGCTTCTGAAAAGCAGCAAACAAAATTACGATACAATGTGATAGTGCTATTCTGATAATGTGCTTTGCAAGGTGCATCTAAACCAGCCTAGGAGTGGAGGGGATCAAGGAAGGGTTGCTGGAAGAGGTGACACCTGAGCTGAATCTTAAAGCATGCTATCTCAAGCCTCAGCTCCTCTGCAAAGTGTGGACCTCCACCTCACTGCACTTCGTACATATCTCCATGATCACTTGCATTGCGCTAATTGTTTGTCTTCATACATATCTTCCTTCCCAGTTTCTAAATTGCTAGGGAGAAACTATGAGTTTTATTTATCATTACAACTCAGCCATGACTGTGGGACTAGCAGAACATTCAATAAATATTTATAGAATCTATTGGTTTTCATTTGAGTTCGTAACTCACTCACAGCTATAGTGAAGGACATCCATTCTTATGAATGATCATGATGAACAGTAATTCACAACACAGTTCTGCATCTTTTTTTGAGTGTGTTTTTTGTTGTTGTTTTTTTGTTTTGTTTTGTTTTTGAGACAGAGTCTCAGTGTCGCCCAGGTTTGAGTGCAGTGGTGTGATCTTGGCTCACTGCAACCTCCACCTCCCGGGTTCAAGTGATTCTCCTGCCTCAGTCCCAAGTAGCTGGGATTGCAGGTGCATGCCACCAAGGCCAGCTAAGTTTTGTATTTTTAGTTTCACTATGTTGGCCAGGCTGGTCTCAAACTCCTGACCTCAGGTGATCGGCCCACCTCGGCCTCCCAAAGTGCTGGGATTATAGGCATAAACCACCAAGCCCGGCCTGTATTTGAGATTTTCTGCTGCTACTCCAGCTCAGCCTGACTGAGCTTTCACTTTTTGTTCCTACCCCTGTGTGTGCATCTGAACAATCCACAAGCCTCACTAACTCCTGCAGCTTCCCTCCCTCGGAGCTGCGTCCACTATGGCCTCTTGACCAGGGCTGAGGGAGAAAGATGGCAGTCATGCCACTATCCTGGCACCCTCCGTCAAGAGCCACAGTCATCAGAACCATGGAATGACTGACTGGGTGAGTGTACTCTCGTCCCTCCATCTCTGGAAAAAGTGACGGGAGCTCTGAAACCATTTTGAAACCTGAACATCGTAGCTTGACTTTTTCTAAACTGGTATCTGTGGGTAGGTTAAAATTATCTGGTTCTAATTTCATGTATTTCTAAGTTTGAGGCAGAGTGAGGCAGTGGAAATTCATTATAATGCAGTGTTTCCCAATGTGAGAGACAGGTTCTACCCAGGGTTTGCAAGATGATTCTATAAGTACGCATATAAACATGTTTTGGCTAGGAATGTATTTGTGTAAATTATCTATTTTTAGAATAATGTATTTATTTACCCTTTACTTGGGCCAAATAAATTAATGTGTTAATTTGAATTCTTTGTTGCACAAATAAGAGTATAAGTGCTTTTGGAGAACTAAAAGTCAGGAAGCTCTGTTATACTCCATTCCTCAAGGTTCGGGGCCTGTTCTAGGTACTGCGGGCCCTGGAGAGAGCAACACAGACCAAAGCCCGGGGCTCCAGAGTCAATATTCTGATCAAGGAGACACCATTGGTAAACATACAAGCATGCCAGCAGGGGGGGAGTGGTTTAGAGAAAAGTGAGCAGGGGTTGGTGGGGGGCTGTGGTGTCACTGTTTTGTGTAGGTGACCCACCGATGATGCCACAGAGACCTGAAGGAAATGGGGGCCGGCCTGTTCTCTCAACCTTGCCAAGGGTTCTTTGCAACACTCCATGCTACCCACTGGTCCTCCACCTCCTTCTGCTCTACCCTGTGCTAGAGCTGATATATGGTTGATGGACAAAAATATCTTCTTACATTTCTTTTGTAGGTTTTTGTCTTTTCTCCATGTCCTCACGTGACAGAGAGAGGGAGCGAGAGAGAACCAGACAATACATCTTCATAGGACATGTAGTCTCCTTGTATCATCCAAGAGGGATCTACCAAAAGGGATCACCTCCTACAAGTGCTAAGTGGGCTCAGGGTTTATACAGCGCTTCATGCGGGTTCAGGATGTGCAGCCATTTCCCGACATGTCATCATCCCTGGTTCTGATAAAATCCAGAGAGGGACATTTAAATCAGAGGACTTCACCCCTGAGCCCACAGCAACCCCACCAAGACACAGTATCCCCACTGTGCACATGAATGCATCTTCCTCTTTTGCTGCCCTTTCAACATACCAGTCCCTACTCAGGCACGTGAAAACTGTGCCATTGCCCCTGGCATTTGAGAAGTTTCTAAATAGACATCAACACTTGGATATTGATTTTTCACTCAATGATGACTTTTAAATTGCTCTTTTGCTCCTAAGTTTAGCGACTTCTTGACTGTTCTGGAAAACCAAAGAACTTGGGAAATAATCAAACAAACATTAAATTCAATCACCCAGAAATATTGGGGAGACAAACGAAATTTCACTCCTAAGAATCTAAAGCCCCCGTAATAAATACTTCTTTGCTGACTGGCAAATGAACGTTTATCAGCCCTTCTCATGTCTAGAGACACCAAGTAATGGGGACAGCTTAAGAATGGTTTGTGACCGAGACTGGGGACTATTCTGGGCCCTATGGAAGTCCAGCACAGTTCAACTCAACTGTCAGTGGTGCCTAATCCTGGAAAACGCTGAGGGCCCTGAACGTGGATCAAGGAAAGGCTGTTGGTGCACTCTTCCCTGTCCTTGGCAAAGTCAGGGAACAGGTTCCCGATCCCCCAGATTCCAGCTCTTCCAAATGTTTCTCAGGAAAGAAGCCTGCCCTGCTGCTGATGGCCCAGGAGCCTGCCCGGGAAGTTCTGGGTAAAGAGCAAGATGAAGAGAGTCCTCCAGTCTCCTCCTCACCAATGCCCTGCAGTTCCCCACACCTTTCCTGTCCTGTGTACTTGTGTAGGAATGAGATCTCCAGAAGAGATCAGACATGGGACCATAGTGTGTTGATGGGGAAAAGGCAGAAAGGGATCACTTTGGAATATGAAATCAGTGAAGAGAGGGCAGTTCTTAGTGAACAACCTAATGACCACATGACTGAAACAGAGAACTAGATGGTGGGAAAGCAATGAAGGGAAAAGCTGCCAGGGACATAGTCCATGAAGACCTTGGGGAAGTCCCACCTATTAACACAAAAGGTGCCAAGTCCCAGAACTGTCGGTGTGCAGCAGGGGCACAATGAAAGCCTTGTGGGTGTGAACTGGCTGGTGGCCCAGGACGTCCCATCAGAAATGATTACTGTTTTCTGTGCTGTATGCCAAGAGCACAGAGCAGAGTTCCTTTAATGCAAAACAATTTTTAGGCCATATTACTCCTTTATGAGTATGTAGATGGGGTTTTTAGACATTACAAAAAGTTGACTGTGGTGAAATTTGAGCTGCATTTAGACTTTTATTTGGCTTCTATGAACTTTTCTAATTGCACAGCACCTTGTTATCAAGACTCAGCATCATTTGATCTTGGTTACTTGTGGTCTTCATGGCTTCGGTTTCCTGTCAAAGGCATTCCTGGTAAATCATTCCAAGCAGTTAGGTACTTTGTGTATCTTATTTGCTGTGATCTGGTAGGTACCCCTTGCATACCAAGAAATTCTAGCATGCTATCATGAAAAGGACACCCAGGAGAAAGAAACACAATTTATTTCATTAAATTCAACATTTGTTAAGTGCTAAGTTCACACTTGGCATAATGAATAATTTTCAAACCCTGAAGTAGATAATCATATACATAACAGCTATTTAGGTCTCAACAACATTATATTGCATTCCAGAAATCTGTCATTCCCCTCTATCCCCCAACACACCCACACACACACAAATATTAAATGAGTTAATTCAGTTAATTCAAATATTAAATGAGTTAATGTTTTATTTTATTTAATGTAATTTAAATTAAATTGACACAATGTATTTGTGAATAATAAAACATGTTCAGAATGGAAACATTATTTGAAAACACAGAAAATGTGCAAATTAGTGGCACTTATTTCCAAAACTTTATTACACCAAATCCTTCTTGTCTATTCTGAATCACCTAACATGCTGTCACTATTATGTTAAAAAGTTTTTTAAAAAATAGACTGGTATAAACATATTTCTAGCAGTTCTCAATAATTATAAAATCAATGTACTTGGCTTTTGTTTACTGACTGCTCTCCAAGAATTTTTTAATCCAGGAAAGAAGAATATCCAGTTCACTGATGGCTTTGTAGATTCCTTTTTCTCCAATCTGCAGATAAAGTACAGATGTAAGAGAAGATTTCCATACTTTAAAAAACAAAGTGTTTTAACATAAGGATTTAGAATTCTTACCCCATAAAATATTCTTTTTATCCTGGTAATGGATTTCATTTCTCTAGCTGATGAAGCACAGGAAATCTAAAAAAGCAACAGTAAGTACATATAACATTGTTGAAGAGGCATTAATGATACTCTTTCATTCAACAAATATTTATACAGCAGGTGTTATGTGCTAAGCACTAGATATGTATTGGCAAATAAATAATACATGATCTTTTTCTTCACAGAGCTTAAAGTTTCATGGGAAAGCAGATGATAAATAAAACAAACAAAAAATAAAAATTTACAAATTGCAATTAAAGATATGTTAGCAATTCACAAAGCTCTATGACAGGGATTTATAGGAACCACTTACTTTCAATTGAGTGGTCAGGAGGGTTCCTTTGAAAAATGATTTTTATTTTATTTTATTTTTTTTTTTTTTGAGACGGAGTTTCACTCATGTTACCCAGGCTGGAGTGCAATGGAGCGATCTCGGCTCACCGCAACCTCCGCCTCCTGGGTTCAGGCAATTCTCCTGCCTCAGCCTCCTGAGTAGCTGGGA